AAAAGATACTGGCCTGTTGCTCCCACCGCCCCTTCCGATGCAGACGCTAATTTGGCTTTGGCGTTGGCGGAAGGCAGTAATATTAATAACCTAAGAAGGGCACGTGAGGGTGAGGCGCTGCCTATAAATCACGTGGAGGCTGAGAGGCAGCGACGCGAGAAGCTGAATCAGAGATTCTACGCTCTTCGCTCAGCGGTCCCTAACGTCTCCAAGATGGACAAAGCATCCTTGCTTTCGGACGCGGTGGCCTACATTAATGAACTGAAGGCCAAAATCAATCACCTGGAGGTTGAATTAGAGGGCAATATCAAACAGGATCATGTCCAGACCCAAACCATTCATTCCTCCACCACCACTAACATGAGAGTTGAAGTAAGGATCTTAGGATCCGAGGCCATGGTGAGGGTCCAGAGCCTAAACGTGAACCACCCCTCTGCCAGGCTAATGGATGCTCTCAGGGACGTCAATTTGCAAATTCTACATGCCACAATGTCCAACATCAAAGAGATGATGCTGCAAGACGTCGTCGTTAGGGTTCCGCATGACCTCATGACCGAAGACGCCCTAAAAAATGCCATTCTCAACAGACTCTCAGAGTAATTTTATAGCTATATCTTATCCCTTAGTCCTTTCGCTTTTACTAAATTTACTTAGTTCCTTCTGAGTGTATTTGTATGATTTTCGTACTAGGCAGTTCGTTTGTCCACGCATGTAGTGCTATTATGAACGTTCACGTAATTACTTATCAAGAGATCACTCCACGGTATCCATAATTTTAGTTTGAATAAATTATTCACTTATTTTTACTTCATAACTCATGATAATCTATATTAAATTTTAGTTATCCAATTATTAAAATATTTTAATAAAATATAAATTTTATCTTCCAACTCTTAAATTACAATTTTAATATATTTTAAATGTATATATTATATTGATTTCAATTCATATAAATATCAAATAATTTTTAATTAACATAAAATTATATATATGTGATATAAATTAACTTTTAATCTAATAGAAATTTTTTAAAAATAATCATTCAATTAAAAATTATTAAACAATATAATAATTAATAAAAATTATACTAGTTTAATTTGATTTCTTTCCATTATAATTACAAGTGGTAAAAGTAACTTTCAAACACTCATTAACTAAATAAGATAATCTCTTTTTATTAATAATATAGATAATTATATTTAGCTTTTTTTTCTACGGAAATACTTAGGTATATTTTATTTTCTTGTTTGATAATAACTTAATTTATTAAGTTTTTTTTTAATACTGCTGATTTGATTATAATTATTTAGAAATTAATTAAAGGCTTATTTATTATTAACCTTTGCAAACGGGAAAAACTTACAAACGTCAAATATTCCCTTTTCCTATTATCATTCTTTGTATATTAAAATCTTTGTCTCTCATTTTTGTTATTCTTTTCATTGTTTTTTGAGCACTAACATATTTATTATACCCTTAATAATTTTTTTAGAAAATTTTTATTCTATTGCAGTATTTTTAATTAAGAAAAGTGATAACAAGGTTAATTTTTAAAATTATTTTTTTTAATTTATTTATTAATTTTCTTATGTGTAAAAATGACTAAGATAAAATTTATTTTAAGATAAAAGATGTATTATTTTTCTTACTTTATGAAAAATTGTCATTGGTTAATAGGCATAATTTTTTTTAAATGCTTCCATATCAAGTTTAATTTTTAATTAATCCCCTCTCAATTATATTATTTCTATCTATATCCTCTCTATCTATCAATAAATAAATAAATATATATATATATATATATATATATATATATATATATATATATAACTTAAGAATAAAC